ACATTTCCTGATTTAAAAATTCTGTTTAACAAAATGTTTATGTGTAAGATGAGACTGTTTATGAAATACAAACTTGTTTATAAAAGTTTATTCATTGAAAACTGGTTCTTTTTTAAATACTGACCATGGCATTTGCAATATGTTGCTTTTTAATATATTTAAAATTAAACACTTAAAGAGGACTATGTCTGTTTTTTAAAACACATAATATCAGAGACATATAAAAGGGAATATATTTTTATTTAGTGACTGACTTGATGTTACAAATGTTAATTTTTAACTTGGAAAGTGCACCCTAAGATTCTAGCCTGAATTTGACTCTGTATACAACAGAACAAAGTGTTGTCTGGTCCTGACCGTCATCACAATAGTAGGTGCTCTTTGTCCTTCTTACTAGGGTTTTCTCCTTTTCCTCTTACCTTTTACTAACATCAATGTCATTTTCCAGGGATTAGTCCCTTCTGATAATATGTTCGGAGTGATACTGTCTCACCGTCATTTGCTTCTAGGAAATATCTAGACTGGACCTCTTTTGGCAATCCCAGTATTCTTTACTAGTACCATAATGTAAATGCATCCGTTCTTAGGTCTTTGACCAGCTTTTAGATGATGATGATGATAATGATGATGACGTTATATGCCATCAAATAGCTTGCTACTCATAGTGACCCTTTGTGTGATAGCTCTGAACTCTATCCTGAGGCAGTCTCACTTTCTCTTGACAAACATACCCGCATTATTGCAGTTATGTGTCAGTCCATCTCATCGAGGGTCTTCCTTTCCTACACTGGCCTTGCAAGCATGTGTTGTCCAAGGGCTAGTCCCTCCTGGCCCAGAGTATGTGAGATGGAGTTTCAAAGTCCTTACCTCCGAGGAGCAACATGTATATGAGGCAATTGTAAATTCCAAGATTTTTGTCAAGTGTACCTTAATCCTTAAGGTAACTGTCTTAGTTAACCACTCATTGCCATTGAGTCAGAACAGATGCATAGCTGAGCCTTTCTGGGTTTGTAGGAAGCTGTAAATCACACCAAAGGCGATTGCTCATCTTTTCTTCCTTAGTTATTGATGTGTTTGAACTACCAGAGAGGCATCACCTTTGGGTTAGCACCACAATTCCTTAAGGACTAAACCATCAGAGCTCCTTTGTCTTACTTACCTAGTGTCACATTTGTGGAAAAAGTTTATGAAGAAAATATCAGCACTCAAGGCCAGGGCTGACTAGAACATCTATTACTCATGTGCAAGTTCAAAATGAAGCTGAAGAAAATGAAAACAAGTTAACAAGAAACAAAATATGTAGCAATAAGACAAGAGAAGGGAATAAAAGGTATCCAAATAGGCAACGAGGA